GTGCGAGGCGGACCGGAGGGCTCCAGGCAGGAGAGCGGGGAGCCCGGGGAGCCGGGGGAGCCCGGGGCTGGCGGCCCCGCCGCCAGTGCAGCCGCCTACCCCCACCGCTGTGTGCCTTGTTCGCTTGCCCCGTGTGCATTTGTTTTGGAAACTTGGGGTTTAGGGTTGCACATTTCCGCGGCTCGAGCGGCGAAGGCTGAAGCCGAGAAGGAATTTTTCTCCAGTGACTTAGCGTGGCAAACCCCGACTCCATGGTGGTCTGCTTTGCATCGGCTGCGCACATGCTCAGATCAGGAATTTAGCTGCTCACCCCACCTCGTGGCTAAAAGTCAGAGCCCTCCGGGCCAGAGAGGGAATTTGTGTGGGCATGAATTCACACCGAGCAGAGGAATGAAAAAATCGGAGCCTTGCACCTCCCGCCAGAGCCGTGCCAGAACTGTGATAGATGCAAATGAATAAAGATAGGTAAATGAATAAATGAAAGTCAATTATTAAAGGAGATTACTGAAAAAGTGAATGAACGCAGTGCCATGCTCGCTAGCCTTCTCGTGTGGGTCAATCCGTCCAGGCCCAGCACATTACAGTTGGGATACTACAGCTGGGCCCGGGAAGCAGGAATAAATGTCCAGAACATCCCGAGCCCTTCCCAAATCCGTCCTCAGTGCAGGAGCAGCTTCTGGAGCATTCTCGTTCCCTGGTTCCGATGCAAGGAGATGCTAAACTTGTCTCAAAATACAGAAGGATAAGATTCTTCATCAGACCTGTGCACACATTTAACAGAGGAATTAAGAATCGCTTTCACGAATGAGAGTTGAAACGGGCCAGAATGGGCAGAAAACAGGGAAGAAGCAGGGGGCAGCAAATGAAATGGTAAGGGCAGGAGTGCACCTATTTAAAGGAGTGCTTTTTCCGATCGTGTGTGTGTGTATAAAGCTGTGGGCTCATTGGCACATGATGCTGTGGAGGTCAAAAGTATAAACGGGGTCAAAAAAGCAATTTGACAAATTTATTGAGGAAAAGTCCCTGGAGCTTTACTAAAGGCAAAGGCAGACCTCTGCAGCACGTTGCTGGACAATGCACAGCAAAAGTATCGCTCTCTCATTCCCCCATTTTTCCCCCTAAGCATTGGCTGCTCTTGGAGGTAAGAGCAAAGCCACAACAGACCTTTGATCTGACCCAGTTGGTTATTTTTACATAGTTAGGGTCCACTTTTATGCTTTATACTCTGTCTAACCCTGATGGGCTTGGAGGTGCACCTCACAAATTTGGGATTAGCTGTGCAACGTCCGATTGTTTGGGCCACGCAGGAGGAGGTCAGCACTGCGAAGTACGAATCGGCACTATCTCGTCCCCGAGCCGCTGGGCACGGTTTCACATGCTGGCCTCTGCTGAAGGCTGGAGAACAGCCTCACGGAGTGGCTGCACTTCTTGCCCAGTTTAACTCCCCGTCAGGGTAATAAGAGGTTACTTTGAGCACCAAGTATAAACTGAATCCAAGTGCCAGCTTTGCCACAAATATAT